TATGGCCAAGCCTACTAAGAACAGAATTTGGAAATTCTGGATTACCAAGCATGATGGTGCATTCCGCCCCCCTCTCCCCCAGACGAGGTTTCTCTGTATTGTTTTGGAGCCTGTCCTGGAACTCGCTCTGTAGACAGGCTGGCTTCAAACTCACAAAGATCTACCTGCCTCTGCCTCCCAAGTGCTGTGATTAAAGGCGTGCGCCATCAACACCGGGATTGGTGGTACATTCTTGTATCCTGCTTATTCCAGTACTTAAGAAGTCTGAAGCCACAGGATTGTAAATGCAAGGAAAGGCTGAGCTACATAGCAAGACTTTACCTCAAAAACCTATTGGGTTTTGGGTTTAAATAGCAATGGTAACAAAGTAAAAACATTGTTTCTTGACTTCTGTTTTGTAACTTTTAAGATTTGATATAGAGGTGGGCAGTGTTGATGCATGCCTTAAATCCCAGCGCTTGGGAGGTCGTGGGAGGATCCTGAGAGTCTTAGGGCTTGAGGCCAGCCTGGATTACAGAGGGAGTTCCAGCACAGCAAGACTACACTGAAGAAACGCTCTCTCTCTCAAAAAAAAAAAAAAATTATCTATAAGTTACTGAATCTACTGTTTGGAATCTACAGGACCAGAGAGAAATATGAAAGTCCAAGGTTGGATGTGTCTGAAATTATGGGAAATAGCCTCCATGTAGATAAAAATAAGGTAATGTAGTAATGGGAAAAATAGTCTAAAGTGTAATTATCAGAAGATGAGCTCTGAAGTTAGCTGGTGAACATAGGAGGAGGTTTCAAAGTCGCCGGTCTCTACCCTGAATGCAGCTACAAAAAGCCAGCAAAATGCTGGATGTTACTATGGAAGCCTAGGAAATACAGGACACATTATTCTTCCTGTACAAACCACAGTGTGTCAGTACCTAGAATAGAATGTGCAGTTGTGGTTGCCACACAGAAAAGGTAAAATAGACACAGTCTAGAAAGATAACTGAAAATAACAAAGGTTAGAGCACTTCTGTAGAAAGGCAGATTTAAAAAAAAATACAGACACATCTGCAAGCAACTTTAATGTGAAGTAAAGTGGTAAAATGGAAGATATTTCTACATCAAATCTTTTTTTAATGGTTTATTTGTTTTTATTTTATATGCATTGGTGTTTTGTTTGCATGTATGTCTGTGTGAGGGTGTCAGATTCCCCAGAACTGGAGTTGCAGACAGTTGTGAGCTGCCATGTGAGTGCTGGGAATTAAACTCCGGTCCTCTGGAAGAGCAGCCAGTGCTCTTAACTCCCACCACCCCCCCCTTTTTTTTTTTTCTTTCAAGACAGGGTGTGTAGCCCTGGCTGTCCTAGAACTTGCTCTATAGACCAGGCTGGCCTCAAACTCAATAGAGATATGCCTGCCTTTTCGTCCCAAGAGTTCTGGGATTAAAGTTTACAAGTGCTGCCATGCTTGTTCTTCTATGGTCAAGGACTGAATGTAGGGCCTAACACTTGACTTTCTTTTTTTAACCCTTAATTTATTTATTTAATTTTTTTTATGTGTGTTGACATCTTTGCCCGCATGTATGTCTGTACAAGGTTGCCAGATCACAGACAGTTGTGAGCTCCCATTGGGTGCTGGGAATTGAACCCGGGTCCTCTGGAAGAGTAGCTGGTGCTCTTAACCACTGAGCCATCTCTCCAGCCCCTCCTTTTTTTTGTTTTGTTTTGTTTTGGTTTTTCGAGACAGGGTTTCTCTTCTATTGTTTTGGAGGCTGTCCTCGAACTCACTCTGGAGACCAGGCTGGCCTCCAACTCACAGAGATCCGCCTGCCTCTGCCTCCTGAGTGCTGTGATTAAAGACATGCTCCACCAACGCCCGGCCCCCGCCTTTTTAAAAAGATTTATTTATGTGTATGTATGTGTGTCTGGATGACTATGTGTTCTGTATGTGTTCAAGTGCTGAGGAGGCCATAGGAGGGTGTTGGATACATACACTGGAACTGGAGTTAGCAGAGGTTGTGAGCTGTCTTCTGTCAGCGCTGGGGACCAAGTCCTGGCCTGCTAGAAGAGTAATTAATATATACTCTTAACCATTGAGCCATTTCTCCAGCCCCTAATTTTTTGTTTTTGAGTTTGCCTACTAGCCTGGCTCTTGCCATGTAGACCAGGCTGGCTTAGACTTGTAGTGATCCTCCTATGTCTGCCTCCCAAGTGTGAGAATTACAGACATATATGAGCACCCCTAGCCTAGGTGTGTGTGTGTGTGTGTGTGTGTGTGTGTGTGTGTGTGTGTGTGTGTGTGTGTGTGTTTTTTGGTGGTGTTGAGGTAGGGTCTCATGTAGCCCAGGTTGGTCTTGAACTTGCTGTGTTACTGACTTGCCAGCCTTGAATTCTTGATCATCCTGCTTCTACCCCCAAACACTAAATTTGTAAGCCCAGGCCTGACTTTAGGTAATAGCATGTATGTGTGATATATGCATGTGTGTGTGTATACCTTCAGATGTATGTGGAGGCCAGAAGTTGATGTCAAAATGTCTTTTCAGGGGCTGGAGAGATGGCTTGGCAGTTAAGAGCACTGGCTGCTCTTCCAGAGGATCTGGGTTCAATTCCCAGTACCCACATGGCAGCTCACAACTGTCTGTAATTCCAGTTCCAGGGAATCTGACATCTTCACACCAATGCACATAAATGAAAGTTAAATAATTTTTAAAAAAATTATTTTCAGTCATCTCAACTTTTTTTTTTTTTCTCCCCTGAGATAGAGTTTCTCTGTGTAGCCCTGGCTGTCCTGTAATTAGCTTTGTAGACTAGGCTGGTCCCGAACTCACAGAGATCCAACTGCCTCTGTTGACAGATTGCTGGGATCAAAGGCGTGCACCACCACCACCTGGCTTCACCTCTAGTTTTGAGATAGGGCTGGGGTTATAGATATCTTCTCCCACACCCAGCATTTATGTGGGCGCTGGTGATCTGAATTCAGGTCCTCATTCTTGCACAGTAAGCACTTTACTCAATAAGCCATCTCTCCAAGCCCTTTTTTTCCTTTTTTAATGTTAATTATATTAGGTCAGTCTCAATACCTTGGGGACCATTTGTTTACACATCTTTAGAGAAGTCACTGTATCAAAACTCATTTCTAACAGATGGAGGCAGATGCAGAGCTCCACAACTAACCATTAGGCCGAGCTCCCAGCGTACAGTTGAAGTGATGGAGAATAGATAAAATGAACAAAGGAGTCAAAGACCATGGGGTAAACCCACAGAATCAGCTGACCCGAACTAGTGAGAGGTCACTGACTCTGGACTGACAACTGGGGTACCTGCATAGGAATACAGGTGACAGTGGTGTGGCTTGGGCAGTATAAGAGGCCAGTGGCACTGGGACCAAGACCTATCTCTAATGTATAAACTGACTTTCCCATTCTCTATGGAGAGACACTCTAATCAGCCTAGGCACAGGGAAGGGACTTGGTCCTGCCTCAACTAGGTGATGGGACAGGCTTAGTTGACTTCCTAGGGGAGGCCTTACCCTCTCTGAGGAGTGGATGGGAAGTGGGGTGGGGAGAAGCAGGACAAGAGGAGGGAACCATGGGGAACTGGGATTGGAATGCAATAAATAGACAAACAAACAAAAAACACCAAAAAAAAAAGCCCTCTCATTTTTTATTTTCTGATTAAAAAAAAATCTATTTGCTATTTTCAGTACATAAGAGTTTGATTCTTAGTACTGCAACAACAAAAATAAAAAATCTTCCCAAATGAAAACAAACAAACAAAAAAACCCATCTTACTTTGCTGAGGTATGGCTCTGTAGTAGTAGAATGCTTTCCTGGCATGCCTGACATCATGGGTTAGATCTGCTGGAACTAAAAAGCAAACAACCATCCCATTTCTCTGTCTCAGTGTCTCGGTGTACATTGATTGATTCGATTGATTGATGCTTGTGGCAGCATGCATGTGGAGGTTAGGATAACTCTTGGGAGTCATTTCTCTCTCTCTGCCATGTGGCTTCCACGTCTTGGACCAATGAGTAGCTAGCTCTTCAAATTGAGCCTCTGGGGGAAGGGTGGCCCAGCCCCTGGGCTGGAGAATTCAGGGTAGAGGACAGGGTTTGCCAGTCATACCCTGTGACAGGTGGGACTGAGGGATGCTGGGAGAACCTAGAGGCCAGGTCCAATTTGATATGTTAAATAGGTACCTCAGCCATTTGTCTCAGTTCGAAACTTTACACAAGTTTGATGTTGGTGGCACACGCCTTTAGTCCCAGTACTCTGGAGGCAGAGGCAGGCAGATCTCTGTGAGTTCCAAGCCAGCCTGGTCTACGAGAAACCGTGTCTCAAAAAATATAACAGGGCTGGAGAGATGGCTCAGAGGTTAAGAGCACTGACTGCTCTTCCAGAGGTCCTGAGTTCAATTCCCAGCAACCACATTGTGGCTCACAACCATCCCTTATGAGATCTGGTGCCCTTTGCTGCTGCTGAGTTATACAGGGAAGCAGAATGTTGTATACATAATAAATAAAATCTTTAAAAAAAAAAAAACCAAAAAATTTAAATACTCATTGATTGATTGATTGATTGATTACTTTATTTTGTGTGTGTGTGTGTGTGTGTGTGTGTGTGTGTGTGTGTGTGCATGATATACATATAGAGATCAGAAGACGACTTGTAGGAGTTAGGCTTTTCCTTTTACCATTTTGATCCTGGGGATGGGTGTGGCAGCAAGTGTCTTTGCCTAATGACCCAATTCTCTAGTTCCCAGACTGGTTCACTTTAAAATTTTTTATTTAAGCCTGTTGGTGGTGGCACATGACTTTAATCCCAGCACTTAGGAGGCAGAGACAGATAGATCTCTGTGAGCTCAAGGCCAGCCTGGTCTACAGAGCTAGTACCAGGACAGGCTCCAAAACAGAGAAACCCTGTCTCAAAAAAAAAAAAAAAAATTAAATTTATTTCTATTTTATATTTATGGGCATTTTGCTTACATGTATGTTTGTGCAACAGTAGGTATACCCGGTGCCTGCCTGCAGAGGTCAGAAGAGTCCTTGGGATCCCCTGGAAGTGGAGGTACATACAGATGATTGTTAACTATCATGTGGGTGCTGGGAATTGAACCCAAGTCCTCTGGAAGAGCAACAAATATTCTTAGCTGCTGAGTGTCTCTCTAGCCCGTGGCTCACTTTTTTTTTTTTTTTTTGGTTTTTTGAGACAGGGTTTCTCTGTGTAGCTTTGGCACTTGCTCTGTAGACCAGGCTGGCCTCGAATTCACAGAGATCCGCCTGCCTCTGCCTCCCGAGTGCTGGGATTAAAGGCGTGTGCCACCAACGCCCGGCCCATGACTCACTTTTATGAGCAAGAAAGAAGGGGGCTGGAAAGATGCCTCAGCTGTAAGAGCACTAGTTGCTTTAGCAGAGGACCTATTTTTGTTTCCCAGTACCACATGGTGGATAAAATGTCTTCTTTTGACCTCCTCAGGCCACAGGTACACCCATGGTATACATGAATACATACATGAAAAACACTCATACAATAAAATAAATCTAAAACAGTTTATTTATTTATTTATATATATATTTTTTCAAGACAGTGTTTCTCTGCATAGCCTGGCTGTCCTGGAACTCACTCTGTAGACCAGGCTGGCCTTGAGCTCACAGAGATAATCTGACTGTCTAACCACTGTCTAGCAAAACACTTCTTTAAAAAAAAAAAAAAAAAAAAAAAGCAAGAGAAAATACTATTAGTAATCCTACTGGAACCATTGATATTAACCAAGATGAATGAATAACTTAAGAGGATACTTTTTGGCAAAGTTCAGTTTTAATGTATTTGACAAGACATGGTAGTTTTTAATTGTAATTGAATTTTGTTTGCCATAGCTTCTTACTAATACAGTACAGATGCTTTTGTTTTTCTCCTGCCAATAGAAGTCAGGCCTTTACCTGATACAATTCATATTTTCTTTTCTCGATTTTGTTAATTCGTTTGCTGCCTACCAGACCACTTGGGAAATATTCTTTGTCAAACTCTATTTCCTCCAGGTCTGAAAAATACCAGCAGGAATTTTTGTAACACTTGTCCTGTTTTTTAAAATATTGGCATTTAAAACAATAAATCCCCAAACATCTTTATTAACATGATTTCTACAAAGAGTGGAGCTGGGGAAGCCGTCTGTATTACTAGATTGTTAGAGAATTAGTACTGTTGTTAACTTCTCATAGATATTTGGAAATAGCCTTATTGTATAGTCCTGAGGCTGTGTTATTGTTTGTTAAAAAGGATTATACCAGTCTGAAATCTGGGATATGAGTGCTGTCTCATTGATCTGTCAGCCTAGTAATGTCCATCGCTATCCTTGTAATCATAGTTATTTGTAATAGTACTCTGATAAAGTACTATTAAAATTAGATGTTGACTCTCACTCAGAGAGGAGTAACTTGGTCAATCACTAAACAAGCTTTCAACATTACTCCAGTACAAAGTACACTGAATTAATATTGTTTTAGGTGTATGAGTGTGTTTCCTTGCATGTATGTATGTGCATATGGTACCAGAGGAAGCCACAAGAGGATATCTGATTCCCTCAACCTGTTGTTACAGATGAACCCAGGTCCTCTGCAAGGGAAATAAATACATACTATTAACTGCTGAGCCATCTCTCCAACCTGTTTTTGTTTTTTTAAAGAAAAGGTCTTATCACCCAGAGACCTGGCTGGCCTGGAACTTTATATGTAGAAGAAGAGGCTTGTCCTCGAACAAGAAATCTGCCTGGCATTGCTTCCAGGATTGGGATTAAGTCCTTGTGTCACCATGATTGGTTTCTGTATTTTGAGCCGGGGTCTCGGCTGGCTTCTAAGTCTAAATGTAGTTGAGGGTGTCCTTGAGCTCTCCTGCCTCCTTTATACGAAGCATATGCACCTGTAACTGTGAGTGTTCTCTCTCAGTTCTTCAAAATCCTGACCCACCACAGATTAACATTTCTAAATTTGCCCTTTTGTTGGGTTCAATAGGGCTTAGATTTGGTCATGTGGTTTTCTGATACAGTTGAGAGAGACCAGTTTTTTGGCTAATTTTTGGGAGGCAGCTGTTGCTACATTGTTGCAGTTCATGACTTCCCAGGTTTTCAGAGGTGCTTGCATTTTGTAAAACGTAAGTCAGGCTGGTCTCAACTCACAGAGATCCTCCTGCCTCTGCCTCCAGTGCTGGGACTAAAGGCACTGACCGGCAAGAATTGGGAATTTTAAGCCTCATTAGTTACTAAGGAGGTACAGATTAAAAATATTGTAATATTGGTCAATCATTGGCAAAGAATAAAAACAAAAATTGTCATCAAAAAAGTGGGCATGGTAGCATATCCCTGTAATCCCAGTACTCAGGCAGTCAACCCAGGAGGATTGAAAATTCAAAATCACCCTCAGGTATATAGTGAATTCAAGGCCAACTTTGACTATTTATGATTCTGTCTGAAAAAAAAGAAAGGAAGGAAGGAAGGAAGGAAAAGCTGGCAAAGAATCTAGAACCTTACAAACAGGAGTGTGCTGGTTAGATATGTAGCTGAGTGTTAGGACACCTGCTTAGTGTGTGTAGCACACTGGGTTTGCATATGGCATTCCATTCTTGAGTGTCTACTTTAAGGAACTCTCTTTTTTTTTTTTAAACTTATTTCGTGTGTGTGTTTATGAGTGTGGGTATGAGCATGCCACAGTGTGTGTTTGGAGGTCTGAGGATAGCTCTTAGGAATAGGTTTTCTTCTGTCATATGGGTACTGGAGATTGAATGCAGTTCATCAGGCTAGGCAGCAGGTGTCTTTACTTACTGAGCCATCTTGCCAGCCTTGCCTTAAAGAATTCTTATATTAGCCAGGTGGGGGCAGGTGGATCTCTGTAAGTTCGAGGCCAGCCTGGTCTAGAGAGTGAGTTCCAGGACAGCTAGGGCTGTTAGAAAGAGAAACTCTGTCTCAAAAAAAAAAAAAAAAAAATTCTTATATTATGCAAGTATACTAGGACATATTTACAAAAGTGTCCATAGCAACACTCTATTGGTAGTAAACTAAAAAAAATAATAAAAATTGGGAAAAAAAACTGCATTATTTTGAGGTTGGATAAGTAAATCATCGTATGTTCATATAGTGGGATACTATTTACCAGTAGAAACAAATTATAAATTATAGCAGTATTATCTAAAGAAAAATGACAGAATGAAAAAGTTACCAAGAATGTACTCATTTAGGATTAGGGCTGTGGCTCAGCAGGCAGGACACTAGATTTGATTCCCACTACTACACAAACTGAGTGTCATAGTGCGTACCAGAAATCCCTGCACGCAGGAGGATCCGAAGTTCAAGGTCATCCTTGACTTCACAGAGAGTTAGAGGCCAGTCTGTGACCCTGTGGAAAAGAAAAGAAAAAGGGAAAACACACACACACACACACACACACACACACACACACACAACACACGCACCTTGGTGTGCAGAGGTCAGACGACAGCTTGGAGGATCATTTCTCTCCTTCCACTGTGGATTGAACTCAGGTCATCATGTTGGCAGTTAGTGTATTTTACCCACTGAAACATCTCACTGTCCCCTGTCGCTTTTTTATTTTTGTTGTTTTTGAGACAGAGTTTCATTGTACAGCTCTGGCATGGAATTATTTATAGTTGCCTTAAACTCAAAGAGATCTGCCTACCTATTCCTTCTGTGTGCTGGGATTATAGGTATATGCCATCAGGCCCATATTTTCTTTGTTTGTTTGTTTATTTTGTTTTTGAGACAGGGTCTCTCTGTATATCCCAGGTTGTCCTGGAACTCTGTAGACTAGACTGGTCTAAAACTCAGACACCTTCCTGCCTCTGCCTCCAATGCATTGGAATTAAAGGTGTGTACCATCATGATGGTTTCTGGCCCCTTTTAAAACGTTTATATTAATAAATAATTGCAAATCATTAAAATGAGCGGAATTTGCCAGGCAGTATTGGTGAACACCTTTAATTTCAGCATTTGGGAGACAGAGGCAGGACCAGGCAGTTTTCTGTGAGTTTGAGGCCAGCCTAGTCTACATACAGAGTGAGTTCTGGGACAGCCAAGGATAGATAAAGCTACACAGAAAAACCCTGTCTCTAAAAAAAGGAAAGAAAGAGCCATGACATTTGACAATAGTCAATATTCTCTCTGCTTCTGCATTCATACATAAGCAGGTTTTTCAGAATATAAAAATTGATGCCTGGGGCTGGTGATGTAGTTCAGTTGGTAGAGCACTTGCCTAGGTTACATAAATACCTGGGTTTGAATCCCAGCACTGGGTAAAAAAATGGGCATAGTGGCACTGGCCTGCAATTCAGTATGTGGGTAGACAGAGTCAAGAGGATTAGAAATTCAGGTTCTCTTCCACTATGCCACTACACTAAGAGTTTGAGGCCAGCCTGGCAGTGTGAGAACATATCTCAAGAAACCACCACCACAACAAAAAACCTAAAAAGCAAAAAAAAAAAAAAAAAAAGAAAGAAAGAAAAGAAAACAACCCACCACCAACAAAAACACCTAAAAGTTACTACTCAGGGCAGTGTGATTTAAATGTTACAGGAAGACACTTATCAGTGGCAGAAGCTGGCGTCTACTAACCATGGAGCACTTTGGTCATCTTATGCTGTAGTTTTCCTGTTAGGTTTTGTAGATCCTATCGGTCAATTAGAAGTGCTTCTGCCTCAGTCTTTCACCCCTTCATGTAGTACATCCTCCACACTGCTGCCAAAGAGCTTTCTAAATGCAAATCTGATCATGTCTTTCCCTGCTCTCAATTTTAAATGGCTCCCAGTGGCCTTCAGTATACTCTAAGTGCTATAGCCTTGCATGGAAGGTCCCCAAGTCTCCGTTTCCGTCTGCCTTATTAGGCTCATCTCTCATTACTTCTGGTACTTCAGCCCCACCAGCGGTTTGCTGTTCCCAGAACATTGCTTCTGCACTTGGTGCTCTGTCCACCTGAAATTCTCATAGCTAAACTTACATCCCAATAATCTCAGAATTCTAGAGGTTGAGGTGGAAGGTTGAGGAGTTTGAGGTTTATGCTGAGTTT